CCCCAAAACCCCAAAACCCCATAAGGCTATTCAAAAGAAATTTAGAAATTACTTAAAACATAAAAAAAAATAAAAAATTTAATTGCTTAAGTATCAAAAGATGAATTCTTACTTTTGACTAAATCTTAATTTTTACCCAAAAATTAATTTGATTGCTTTTCTTTCACTTACTTGGAAATTGATACTCAATTTCCATCAATTTTCTTAAGAATGATTAGTGATTCACTTTCTCCTCTGGATTATAATATAATGTGTGCAATTTCATTAATCCATGTCCAATTGTCTCCTAATAAAGTGAGTAATGATTACCAAGAGTCTTAAAAATACATTATTCAATCATTTAGGCCTCTAAATTAGTACAGTCAATATATCCAATACTTCTAGAGTCTTTGTATATCAAATAGGGGTACTATTTAGATTAAATGTTGATAGGCTGCAAATAATTGAAGTTGTTTGATTATGATGGATTAGGAATACATCTATCATAAAGAATCTTTCGGGAGGCAAGATCATACAGCATAAAACTATCAACAATTGAGCAGACTACGAACAAATCATTATTGGCTCTTGCAAAACAAATAACAGGCAAGTTTTAATATCCTTAAAAATTAATGCTTGTCTAACTTTTTAATACCTCTTCATAGCTTATTATAATCTTATTCTCTTATAGTTCACTTATGGCAAGTATAATTGAGGCAATCATTCCTTTAATGTATTAATTTTTCTATTTGTGTGCAAATCCTACTAAGAACTCATTAGGTAAATTAGTTTCAGCAACATCAGAGAAATCTAATTCAGAGGAGTGTCTAAATGATCTCACCTTTTTAAAATCCTTTATTTAGATTACTTCGATGTAGCCTTACAAACAGAATACTATAAGATAGGTAGAGTATTAGCCAAAAATTAACTAATATTTTACAGCTTAGCTAGCTAAGCTAAGATTAGCTTTGATAGTGTAATCTAATGAGCTAATGATTATCAATTTTGATGATACCATCCCACAAACCAGAAAATCATCGACCTTGAAAATTGAAGATAACTTTTCTTTGAACTCCAAAGCAATGCGCATATTAGTTTCAAGATTTTACAAAATTGAATATTCCTTTCTCAAGCCAATTATGAGATTTCCATCTTGATTTTTAAAAATAAGAGTCTATATAACATTCAGATCAGCCATTTATATTTAACTGTTTGACTTTACTGACCTGCCTAAATTATCACAATGAATGGGCTTATCATTTTGTTCATTAGGAATAATCTTTGTTTAATCTTCCATTAGCATTATTTTACTTTACTAAATATCAAGCTAGTTATCAACTTCATATCCATATTCTTCTAGATGATCTATCTAAGCGCTAGTATTGATATCATTTTTATCATTATCGTTTTATTTTTAATCTAATTCTGAAAAATCATCATCTCTAGTAAAACTTGTATTTTGACTTTTAATTTCTTCTTAATCTTATCTATCAATATTAAAATTAACTAAATCTATATCTCTTTCATGTATTTTGTTGAAATCATCGAATATGTGTTATTTAAATTTATCAGCAAATTGATTGATATGTGAATATTTCGAATGATCCTCATTGAGTTATCTTTAATTTACACTTGAAAATCTTATTCTACTCAATATGTCAGCTTATTATGAGTTAAAACTAGTTTTAGATTGCCTGAAGTTTTATTTTTATAAGTTTTAATCTAACCTAGAATCATTATCATCTTTAAATTGACTTGTTTTACTTTCTTTTAATACATTTTAATCTTTTTAATTAATTTGATTCTTTTTAATAGTTAATTTCCCTGATATTGCTTGAAAATTAGACTTTTTACTCTAATTTTGCATTTCATTTTTAAGATCCTGAAACTATTGTATGAATTCAGTTCTCAATTACTATATCTGATAATTCAAATCTGTCAAGGTTTTGACATCATTAATTTAATTCTATTGATTATATGAATTGGCTTCAAAAACCTAATTCTTCGAGAATTTTTAATTTCCTTTATTATACTCAAAGAAATTGAAAACTTCCTAATAAGATGTAAGAGAAATAAGCTCGTAAAAGATACCATTAATGAGGTTTCAAAGTTCTATTTTTATTTCTTTATTTTTGTGCTAGAGATTATTTTATGTCTAATCAACTAGCAAGCAGATATTTTTCTTAAATTGCATTAATTTTGGAATTTGATCATCATTAGCAGACCAATCATGTCTTGTTTGATATTTAGAAGTTTCCATTAATCAACAGATTTAGGATATTAATGTCTACTTTAAAAATAAATTAAAATAATAATTGTAATAGCATCTGCCTATATTTGAAGGTTTATCTAGTGATATCTGCATTTTGTGAAAATTCAACTACATGGGGTTTTGGGGTTTTGGGGTTTTGGGG